CGCAGAGTACGCCTCCTCGCCCTCGCCCTCGCCCTCGCCCTCCTCCATGCCGTACTGCGCCTGCCCACCCCACACACGGTATGTACAACTCTCGCCTTTGGAAAAGTTCATCGACATAAACATATAAAGATTCTCACTCGCAAGAGTTGAAATTCATGTTCTTCTCTGTTCTTCTGTGCTTCTCTTTCTGCAGCCGACATGGTGGACATGGCGGCATCTTCGCCCTTTTCAAAATGCTCCTCAATGTGCTGTATCTAAGAGATTATATAAGACTATTTCAATGGTAAAATCTTTTTATTTAAATAAATGAACACATTTAAAATAATTTAATTATAATTTTAACATGTTAAGAATGTTCTGTTCAGACCAGTTCGTGTTCGGAGAGGGGCAGCGGCTGGCAGCAGACGGGGCAGTTGCTGACGGGGCTCTCCTCCATCATCACCACATCCTCGCAGGATGCATTGTCAAGCTGCTCCTACAAGACAAATCACAATAAAACACATAAACAATGCATTTCACGTTTTTTACCTTATTTGTTATAATACTTACAGATTTTTGTGGGCTAAGAATATCTCTGTGTTCAACATTAACATGCACTTCCACCTCCGGACCGCTTGCATACTCCTTTTCACATATCGGACATTGAAATGTGGAGGAATGCGGTCCTGGAGACATGGCCATCGCACTCAGAGCTAACGTGGGGTTGTCCAGCGTTATAGTTGCATTGTTCATCCCCAGGGTTATGTTCTCAGTGATGTTTGCATTGTCATTAGCATTTGAGAGTAGAGAGGGTGATGTCAGATCGAAATGAGCCCTGTTTATATGTTCCTCGAGCTTCCTCGGACATGTCGATTTGAAATCACATAACAAGCACTGTAACAATAAAATTGACAGTACATTCAATCAGTTTATATTTTTTAGATAAACTACGGACAAGTTTTCTTTGAATGTATATTCGGGGAAACCGATATTCCACGTTTACATTGTTTTCTTTCAAATTTTACCATCGAATACGTATAAAAACTTATGAATAATATTGTCGTTTTTAAATTTAACAACAAACAATAAATCGTACTAAATGTATATTGGCCTTATTACTTACTTTTCTTTTTATTTTTTTACGTATGGATATATACATTAATACCTAGTTATTAAGAATATAATTCAGTTATATTTACGAAAGTACAAAGAATTTTGAATTTTGAAAGTTGTGCGATTTGGGTGTCATTGTCAATTTCATGCTTGTCATCTGTCAAACTCCGTCGATGCGTTCAGAAACCTAAATAATATAGTTGTTTGGTACAGATGTATGTAATTGATTCGCTATTTTCTACTGAATTGTACAATTTTAATTTACTACTGAATTTCGTGGTACTACTATACAGGTTCATTATATGTAGTCAAACTCATTTTTATTCTTTCGCATAAGTGGGGAGTTAAAATCATTGAAAGCGGTTCCGTGGAGGTGCGACTTTAAGGCAGCATCGCTGGCGCCTATAGACCATTCGATAGTGACTCGACTGATAACGAAAAATTGACCAGGCACCGTAAGTCCGCGAACGGAGAATCGACTTGGTAAGATGCCAATAATTGCAGCCACTAAATTAATATTTTTTGTGTTTTACAAATTATTTTATACCTGAACAGTTGGACTTGGCGTTGGTGGTGTCTTTTTAGGAGTGTTAGCTTTGAGCTTCAGTGCCAGTTGTGATCGAAGCGGCGATCCTTGACCAGCGCTCGCCATTGACAACTAGAAAAATTAATTAAGAATCAAGTGTAAAATACCATTAAAGTCTTGTTGTTAAGAAATTCAAAACATACGCGACAGTCACTGATCTGTATAAAACGATCAATATCATTTAGACACAAAACATACATATCTTACAGCCTGTCCATTTAGAGAGCTCACTGGCGACGGTCTACACAAGTCTACATAGTATTTTAATTACGACCCTTAATCAGACTAGATTATGTAGAATCGCTCATAAAAAAAATGTTTAAATGTCAAAATGTTTGTAATATGTTCCTGAATATTCATACCTTATTTTTATTCGGAGAACCTTCATAATTATCTACGTTATGACTGGGACTGTTATTCATGCCTGTAATCGCAAAATTAATAAATAACAAACGGAAACATAATTGTGGTATACTTTTTCATTAACCTTAAAACGTTATTTAATAAAAGTCAGTAGGTAAAATTGATACGAACCCTTCTTGTCGTGACCATTCATAATTTCGCTGTCGCTTGAATTCTCTCTGCTATGATTTTTTTTCGGTATCACCCCATTATTTATATTAATGTTCTTCAGTCCATTACATAGATTAGTATTGTTGGGGGAGCGCGAGCATATATCGTCGTCCTTTTCGCTCCTGTGGCAGTTCTCCTTATCGTAGTAGCCGTTATGGTAGTTGGAGTTCTTCGCGATGGCGCCGTTGTGGCATGGCGCGCCGGCCACATCGGGGCTGTGCCACCCGTTGATGGAGCCCGGCGTGTTGTAACTACAGCTGTCGGTTGTTGTCATTTTAGAATCCTCATCGAAACTGTAACAAAAACATTAAATCTTTCAGAGGGAACTTGTTTTCACTCCTGAGACTTCTTTCTAAGTTGTTCTGTTGTAAAAATGCTTAACTCTCAGTTTGCCAACGTCTTCAAAAAAAATGTTAAAACACGAATTTGTTAACGATTGATATTTAAAAGCTTTGCCAGTAGTTGTCGCTTCATATTTAGGTCTCTATCACTCACCTAGGGCTTTGGTCATCAATAAAGGCCATTAGCTCCCTCTCGGGCGTAAGATAATGCAAGTGCACGCGCTGCACGTGGGCCACGAGCTGGGCGTGCGGCACGGAGCAGCCGCAGAAGGGGCAGTCGGGGCGGCCCGCCACGTGCGCCTCCAGCGTGTGAGCCCGCATGCCCTCGTCCGTCAGACCCTCCGCCCCGCACAGCTCGCACGTGTAGGGAAACGGACTGCTCGACATCCTGATATACAATAAAAACTATATATATTTTATCTATACTAATTTTTAATCTAAAAATAAATTTGTACCTTTTATTTTATTACACAATTTTATGTCAACTATAAATTAATATAATTTAATTATAATTACGTAATATAATAAACATGAATCAATAGTAACTTGCCTACGGGGTACACAGTACAGTAAAGCACAGATAATTACTTATTAGTAGCATAGTAACGATTCACAACAAATTAGGCTAAAGTGTCAAATCGATAAATTTACCGCAGTTTTGTTTTCAAGGGAAACGCAACATTATCTATGTTTGTCTAGAAACTGAACACGTATTCTTAAAACTAATCCTTTTTAGTTAATATTACTGATAATTCTTTAGGGAATATATAATGTTAGATTGTTTAAGTGCTATCTAATGAATCAATATAGATTAAAATATGTAAAAATGTACTCACTTTCCTGTGTTTTATTGTCAATGTTCCGAGGATATTTGATAAATTTGTTTAGTAACACTATCTATAAGGCTTGCTACTTGTGTTATAGGTGACTAATAATAACATTTTCTAACATTTAATTGTACTTAAATAGCTAAAGATCACAACTCGACCACGAATCGCCATTCATGAAATTCAGAGGCAATGAAAAAGAAAAAAATATGTTCACGCATGCGGGAAGTTCAGTCGAGGTCGTGCCCCCTAGCGGATTCTGTAGGACACACGGAAGTTAGAAAAGCTTGCTAGTAACGAAACAACGAATAAGTTACTAATCAAACATTATGTAATATATTTACATAGTGTTACTTAATCCTACATTAAAAAAAATTAACTACATCTTGTATAAAAAAATTGTAAATCTAAAAGATTATTCTGTAAATTTAAAGTACATTCTATGAAAATGCATTTACTTTTAGTGTAAGGCAAGTATTTTAAATATATGTTAGTCAGGAGTGAACATCATGCCATCTATGGAACACTATACAAAAGTAGATTGTGGTAACTTGAGGTAAGTAATTTTCCTAATAAAGTGAATGAACAGACAACAGAGCGCGCTGACTGTTGAAGTTTTCGGTTTCGTAACATGTTTTAAACAAAGGATGTTTTAAAATGTGTCCTCTACGATGTAGACTCTATGCCAAACATTTTGATCATAAAACCAAAAGATCGCTAAACCAAAAGAACGAAAATTGACCTCAATTCAAAGATGCCATTTCTCCTCTCCTCCAAAAGTAGTAAGGCGTGTATGTAGATAATGTTTTTAAATTAAACGTCACATTATCTGTAAGAAATGTTTTCATTTAATAACAATGAGTTCGCGGCGTTGTTTCTCCATGCATGGAAACAATATCAGATATTAAGACGTAGATAAATGGCGCGCGGCAACAAGCCGAGGGGAAGTGTGTAACGAAAATTCTGACAGACTACTTAATGATATTATACTTTTAAAATATGATCTTCGTGGGTCTGTTATTACTTACTTACATTTATAACTCTCTACATTTCCTTTGGGTTTAAACACACCACTTCATTGTCGTAAGTATTCACATTAGCTTCGTATACATTGTTTATTTCATGACAATTCTATTTTCATTATTCGTCTATGCCTACGTGTTTGGAACTATCCCTTAATATTGCAAACTGCGTAGAACAAGGACAAGCTGCTTGCCTCAAACTGTACCTTAAGGACTCGTTAACTCGAACCTGGAGCGTCGTGATTTTATCTTGTGTGCGTTGCAAAAATAATACCTTTCCTCAGCATTTCTTATTCAAATTGTCATTACCTTATTTCTTTTTGCAGTAAGATTCTGTAGCTAAGTGATTACGCTCTGGCTTTAGGTTAGATTTCAGATGAGAAAAAAGATCAGTCTTTGTTGCTAGATGTAACAACTCACGCCCGTGACAAACAGGGGTAGCCAGATTATGAATTATCATTTGGAGTTTATAGCAAAGCTTTCTCATTGAAGTATTGAATTTTTTAGCAGTTATTCAATGAAATTTTGTAATTCCCTTTCGCTGGTCATTAATAAATTGTTAACGCGACCGCGAGCACGTATCGTGTCACGTTCGCTCACTAAATTGTCCCGCAAACGTGATTTAATGGAACCATCGGCCATTGCGCCGCGCACTGCGCCGTGCATCGCGCCGAGCACCGCTACTAAATCTTCATTCTCACTTTTAATATGCAACCGCTTTTTGTGATTGCACTTTTAAAACATCAGGAGTGTTAGTAACAGAAGGAAAAGATATTAATTACATACATGTTTGTCTGTATTTGGAAGGATTACTTTTACAGATTTTCTACAAATTTTCATCATTTAATACGTAAATTATATTGTCTACCATCAGTCCGTCTTATTCTTGGTAGTTCTTGTTAGTTAGTCTTTATTGATGATTTTATCTCCATTTCCATAAAGAACAACTAATAAAATATAAAAGATTGTAGACCTTTGTAGAAAATATTTGAAAAATATATATGTTAAGTCAAGGTTGCTGCAATGTTATTTATGGTTGTGAAAATACAGAGCGGTGGCTTTTGTCCTAATATCCCGCGCTTTTCCAGCTGTCATGAGCGCTAATATACGAGTGTTGCCAGTCGGTTACAGTAACGACGCGACTACGGGTCAAGCAAACGAATATCATTTTATTTTATTTGTTTATTTGAAATATTGTAACCTTATACTACTTGTATATTGTAAACATTTAAATAAATACTCTACGGTGATTTTGAACTATTACTATATGAAATTACTTCGAGAAATAACTCTTATTGTCTATTATCTATGTTAATTGTCCGTTAGTTAGTTATTATTGTAGCTGTATTCCTGTTTGTCTTTACTTATGTATTAGCGTATATGTAAGCAGAGATGCACGGCTTGGTTACAGGATCGCAGGCTTTTAATCAACACAGCCCGCTACCTGGCGATGACGGCACTAACGACTTATGTGCCTAGAACGCCGCTAGGTGGCGTGTTGATAATTCTCCCTTCATGTAAGCTATTTCGTACCGAGAGTCTAGGTATGGTTGTATTTGCAGGACGTGTTGTCGTTTTGTCAACTTTGTGTCCAGTCACTGAACACTGACAGGACTCGCTTAATGAGGTCTTCATTGCGATTACATCACTTACTATCGATTATATGTTAATTGGCAAAGAATGTTTTTAATGTAACAAATAATGTAGATTCGTTATTTACGTAGATTTACTGTTGGCTTACATTTACTTGAAAATATTAATACAAAGTAACATTTTGGGCGGCGCTACAGGAAAGCACTGTCACATATACAAGTTGTCATGACAGGTGGAAAAATTTAAATAAGGCAGAGTGAGTCGGGTCGAGACCATATCCCCTGCGCCGCAACAAGACAAATAAATTACTGTGAAAAAACATTTGCAAGGTATTTTTCCACATGTAGGTATTTCTGGGTTGCGAAATTAATTCAACCGAAAAAAGAAAATGTGCTTATTAACTATAATAAATTCAACTAACATTTATTTTAATAATTAATCAATGTTTATAAAGCGCTTCGTTTAAATCGTACAAAGCTTTTGTGGAAAACTCGTTAGGTGTACTCTTGTATGCGAATGCTCTTGTATGATAATGTATTTTCGGTTGTTCAATGGAAACCTCGCAAAGGATCAAAGGGAGAGTTGTAGAGAGGCTCCACACCGGTTACGTTTGATTAAATTACACCGCGGCACTGATTCCAGCAAGCACGCTGCGCCGGGACCGGTGCTGCCCTCTATAAACCCCTGATTAAATTCAATTGACGATTTAAATGACAAACCCTAAACCCCAGACGAGACGATATTAACCTACATCTTACAAGGCCTCACTCAATTATTACAATACTAGCTATCGCCCGCGGGCTCTCTCTGTGCGAAATGAAAATAATATTTAGTTAGTAACATCTATCAGTCACGTTTATAATAATAGTAAGATTATCAACATCATACATAATTAGATATAACCTTTACTTATGAAGCCTTTAATCACATTATAAACTTCGTGTAGAATTGGACACATCTTGCAAACACAATCCTTGTCTACGGAAATCGTTTCTCAATACGAATGACGTGTAGGGAGCTGATATTTCCTCGTTCCTCGCTACTGTTAGCTCGTATTGCATGACAGTGATGTGCAAACACCTCGCTCTCGCCTTGTGTTAGCTAGTACAGTGCAGACGGGTACACATGCAGGCGAACAGCCAACATGGCCGCCGCATGCTGACTTATGCTAATCTCTCCATTGCAAGCTACGAGCCGTTAACATCTTCGTAAACCTGAAAGCTCGTAGTATGCTCAGATTATATTAACCAAATTTAATATCCGTATATCCAGATCAAGTTTGTGTTCATTTCACAGCACAGCTTTTGCTATTGTCTATAAAAATCCAAGCGAAGAGATGAGGTCATATTTCAAGCTTACCCGTTTCGAGGAGAATGTGTCACATTGACGTTGTCAGATTAAAACGATCCGTCAGAGTTGGGGAGAGGGAATAGTCCTGCGCATCCCATTTGTTGGAGCGAGCCGTGAGTTATATGGGTGAAGGCCTGACAAACAGCTGCCAGATGGGTCTTCTAATATATGCAGGCGCTGCGCTATATTTTTAATGTTTTGAGATGTTTGAACATGGTATACATGGAAATTATTATAATATTCCAAAGAAAAATACGAAACGTACGAATGACATAACTTTTACAAGGTGCAGGAACTGCAGCAAATCTGCAAATAACTGACAGGTATCGAGCAAATTTGGCACTCGTGCACACTCAAATCCAATTAAATGCAGTGCCAACTTGTTAAGTTGACACATATGGAGATACTCGTAACTCTCCCGACATCACTTAATGAGCATAAACTTGTATCAACATAATTTATACCTGAAGAACCAACTTTAGTGCATACATATTTGGAAATTGTGTTTGAAACTTACTTTACACTTCCCTTTATTCTGCAAAGCTGCTTAAGTCCCGTCTAGGCATTATACAGTGATAGTGAAGTCTATTGAGAGAATTTGTGACCTGTCCCCATGTTCCTTTTAGAAAACTGTAATGTACTATCACACTGATATACTCCGGACCGGTAGGGCTAAAGAACTAAAAAGATTTTTCTATATAATAATACTAGTAGAAAAAAGGAAACATTTAAGAGACACGTGATTGTTTAAATTTCAACAAAACTTAATTACAAACACGTCGCGGGACAGCGTGTCCGCGTCGTGATTATATTTAAAGCTGTCAGTTACCGTCAGCTCTGAACACGGCATCACGTATGAATCTAATGAAATGGAGACTGTATTGTATAATGTATGTATAAACCAACAAACAGACAAATCCTATCATACAAACTTGACGTAGCAATAGGTAATAGGTAAATAATATAACTGAAATTACCTTAAATCTATTCATTCGTTTAGTTATAGTTAATTAATGTAAACATATGAGATCGGCTGTCACCCATAGGTAAAATGTATTTTAATGGATAAATTAAATATGAATGTAAACGGATGTAACGGATACTGATTATAACGCTATCTCCAGTTAACATAGTAATATCAGAATTAATATTATTTTTAATTAAATAGTTGCCAAGCGCTGCGTTGTATATAATTGTGTTTACATTGGTTTAAACACAGTAATGTGTATGCTTTACATTTGTAGTGTAGTCGATTGATTCTCGCGGGACGAAGTAATTATTTTAACAGTAATGTTAAACTGTACTTGCTGGAAATAACTCCCGCCTCTACACTACTCTTGTATGTCAGATATATTATGCTTACTTTTTATTTTTAAAACCTGGTACTGGAACTACTCAAGTAATTTTTTTTAACAAATATTTCCATCACAGTACAAATTAATTCCAAATTAAATGTATGTTAAGTACGTATAACGAGGTATACCGTGTTCGCGGCATGTTCGCGGGATGCACATTTTCACGCTCCGTGCCTCACAACAAAGGGATTTTCATAAGTCGTAGAGTATGCGTTGGAAATGTGAGCTCCGTATCTGTGGGCGGCGGGGAGTGTGGGGTGGGGGGAGGCAGGCCGTGTGCATCGACACGGGATATAACGGCTGCAAAACACGAGGCACAACCCAACAACGAAACTATGCAGTAATTGACATTTGCGTAAATGATTTATTTGGATAAGGCACATATAGGAAATATAAGGTCTAGTTTTCAAGATAAAAAATGAAACAAATGTGTTCAGCGTATTCGTTTAATCATTAGTTAATAAAAGAGATGGTGGTCATGCCTTGGCGGTGGCGGTGTTGAGTTGGCAGTCGCGGTAGCGGCGCAGCCAGCGGCGGCCGTTAGCGGTTCTATTGAGTGACGCCGTGCAACCGTAGCCGCCGTTGCCGTTTACCATCATATAGTCGAAGCAGTCAGTTACGCCGTCGCTGTTGCAGTCCTGTAACAACATGCAGAGAACCTCATGACTAAAATTAGTATGTCGGCAACGTTTCTTCCGTTTTTGCGGGTGTCCATGAGCGTCGCATCAACAAATATTAGGCGATTCGTAGATCGCAATGATTCATTCGATTCAGTGGTGAAAGTTTTTAGGAGTCAGGATGTCACAGTAATTCTTTTTCCTCTTCACAAACTCACCTTTCCAAATTTCTGAAGATATCCTTCTACGATCCTTTTAGAGCATTGGTAGCTTCTCGCGCAGTCCTCCCACGCTGCGAAAAGACAAATTATGTTGACGAAGATAATTCGAAAGTTTACTGCGTAAACTCTGTATATTTTTGACTTGATATATTCACCGTGGTTCCTCTCGGGATCGTCGTCGGGGAACGTGACTTTACCGGCGTCGACCCAGTATACACGGGAGATGTTGAAGGGGCCGCAATAGCCGGCCGTGCACCCGTGTGCGGTGTTGCAGTCCGTCGACACGTAGCACAGGCAGCGGTAGCAAGCCTCCGACAGGTTCGAGATAAACACTCCTGAGAAGACAACATGGCTAGTATACACACATACATCTTTCTGTCTCTTTCCTCAGCATAGCAAGTACTACTCTTACACAGCTGGTAAATTGTTTTATAAACTTATTATCAAACTCATGTTCTCTACAACTTCTCACAGAACACGTGTCAGAAGAGGTTGCGCGATACGCGCTTCGCAAATCGAAAACTTTTCCGCGAACTTCAACTGATAGCAAAACTCGCTCAGAATATTAATAACTTAAGTCAGGAGATTAGCTTTTGCAAAGCAAATAGGCGTGTCACCGTTTACACAAAGTGCATACGACGGAGAGTACTGAAACCTTTAAAGATTCCTTTGTGGCATAAGTAAAGGATTTAGAAGATGAATTGTTAAAACAGGAAAATTGGATTACAGCTGTTAGATTTTATTTAGTTATGATTAAAGACCTGTTTGTGCGGGTTATTGTTAGTGTACAAACATAACTTAGTACAACGTGGGAAATATGTTAACTAGTTACATTCATACTCTTGATTGTTATCGTAACAAACGTGAGCATCATTTTCCTGCTCGATCAAATAATAGGAATAAACATTTTTGAACTAAACACGGTTATCCAGCAGTACGTCGTACATCATTTATGGTATCCATTAAGTCAAACATCGACAGTTGTCGACAAAGACGCAACGCATACCGCAGAGAACATACTTTTTTGCGACCTTGAGATCCTGAATATCAGGTTCATTGACTTTGGAAGCAGGTCCTGGTGACAATGTGCGTACCTGTGGCAGTGGGCCAGAGTAGCAGAGCCGCCAGCACGCACGCTGGGATAACAAGAACTGCTGTTGCCATCCTTGATACCAAGTTCAATTTTTCTTTTGTACTGCAATGTTGATTTTTTATTTGGCGTAAAGTTGTGTTATTATAACTTGGTTAATAATTTTACATAAGCATGAAGTAAATAAAAATAATACTTATTTAAGCGTTGTCGTGTTTTTAAACTCGTTTACTATTCTTTTGCCGAAAGGACTTGATGAGGTTATTCAGAATATATTTTAAATGACATTTTTTTTAAATACACAAAAAGCAAAGCAGTTTGGACCAGTTTTACTTAATGTTGTGTCTTTTTATTACATACGGTGAGATTGCCTTGATATTAAAAGTACTAATTATGATGAAGCCAACTGCAATGTTACCTTAGTTATTAAGAAAAATTTACTAATTTTCGAATAGTTAAAAAAAAACGAAGGAACAAAACTCTTTCCACTCTCCTGAAGTCGTAACTTCCTGTAATAATAGTAAAAAACACTTACACTATTACGTTATTTATTTTAAATAACTACACAAAATAACAGGGTTATTGTAACTTGTTGGCGACAGTTTGTCTCTTAATACTGAATACTATATATAAAAACTATTTAATTAAACAAGGGCGTGCACGCCGGTGTGCTCGCTCGTACGCGACTGCTCACGCTTTGTATTATCTCATGATAATCAGGTTTTTTACTTATATGAACATTGTTATAGGTATAGTGTAATAATTAGAGTCAGTACTGATTGTAATTTCCTCGTACCTTTGTGTTGTGATGCGTGCGGTTAAACCAGAGTAATGAGTTTACAATACGACAGAACAAAAGTCACGATATTTTGACAGTAATAATTATAACTAATAATCTACGTATTGGTGGAAAGAGAAACATGTAGTTACGTTACCTATCACTTTTCAATTACCATGACCAAAGTGTCAACAACATGAATAAAGATAAGTGTTAATGTTCGCAATAAATCCAGCGAGCGGCCATTACACCGCCACTCTAATATTCACGGACCCCACATTGGGGTCCTTTATTACGATAATCTCGCTATATAAATGTCATTTCTCGCTACACAGACCTTCAGGCTTACCAAAGAATTTAGATTTATATCGCGAAGTTTTCACTTAAAGTCTGTTATTGAAATAGTTACGAGGTCTCAGTTCGCACTGGAATTAGTGAACGAGCTCTGTCACGACGACCCCAAACTTAAACAGATATATGTATAGTTACATTTAATGGATCTATTTACAATGAAGACTTTTTATTTTATGATTAGACTAGCTATTTGCGTGCGGATTTATCCGCGTGAAAATATAAAAACTTATTTTATTCTTTACATTTGTCAAATTATCAATAGCAAATGTCAAAATGACATGACATGACATGACAAACCTTAGCAATCTTTCTTTCTTGATATTGGCATCAACTTATGGTCTCTTTCCCACATTAGGATTTTTATCCAAAATTTTTACCCCTAAGTTTAATGGCGTGAAAATATATAGCCTAAAGCATGACGTAAGTGTAGGGCTTTTTATTAAAAAAAGGAATTATTCAAAATTATGCTGTAATTTCTGACATCTTAGGCAACAAAGAAGTGTGTATTTACGCTTCATTATAATAGTAAAGAGACAATGAAAACTTAAATGTATTGGATACAACACTAATATCATATGATTAAGAAACATTTAGTTAAATTACTTTATCTATAATAATATTATAAAGAGGAAAAGTTTGTATTTTTGTATGTATTTGATTCACGCAAAGCTACTGGGCCGATTTAAAAAAATTCTTTCATTATTAGAAAGGTAATTTATTTGTGAGTAACATAGGCTATATTTTAATTTTACGCGGGCGAAGACGCGAGCAACAGCTAGTAGAAAATATTTCGAGGTTTAGGTACCTTAATAAATCGAATATGATACAAACATATTACTTGAAATAGTTGACCTTTAATTTGACATTAAACGTGCAGCCTCTGACCTTGCCTTGCAAGTAAAGTCCGAGCGAGATCCTATAAATATACAAAATAAAAAATTATGTACCAAATTTGATTAAAAAACATCCATTCTAACATCAAGGGCGAAATGACAAATTTGGAAACTTTTTTGAGTTATAATTTTTTTATTTGTAATTAGCTGTTCCCGGGCGGCTTCTTTCGCACGGAATCATAAAAACTTTATTTTATTATTTGCGTTTGTCAATTTTTTTGCAAATGTCAAAATTACATTTATCATAATAATGTTGTTGCCTTAATGTTTACAGTTTGTACGAGTAGTTTGTTGTCCCACATGAAGGTTTTTTTTCAATTCGTTTACCCTCCTAAGTTTAATAGCGTGAAAATATATAGGCGTGTTGTAAGTGTGGGGCTTTTATTAAAAAAGAATTATTCAAATTATGCTACAATTTCTGACATTCTACGCCAAGAAGTAGGGAGTGTTTACGCTTTACTATATTAGTAAAGAAGTGTAGATATCCATACATTTGTTTTGTGGGAAAGAACCTGACGAGTGCGCGATTTTATATAAAAGAGGTAAATTTGATTGATTGACGACTTTCGTGACAGATGTTAGAAAACCTGACGGTTATTGAGCGGATTTTCTGTTCGTTGTTCTACAAAAACCATAATCCCTTTATTGACTAGTAATACTAGTAAGAGTTACACAGCCGAAATAGCTCAGTTGGGAGAGCGTTAGACTGAAGATCTAAAGGTCCCTGGTTCGATCCCGGGTTTCGGCAACAAAGCGTAAATTATTAGTAATTTTTTTGATAAGAAAAAGCATGGAAGTGTCTTAATAAAGATGAATTGGTGGTTTTTATGTTTATTTTACATTCATGATGCTGTATGGGAGGGTCCGCAACCCGCTCCTGGCTTCGCTCAAGTTATTTTGTACCAATTACATTTCCACAAGTCAGGAACAACACATAATATAAAATACCATACTATTGTAACTAATAACAGAACAATAACGAAGTATTCCGGCGTATCGCGAGCCACAAATCACTATAAATATACCATTTGTGTGCATAAAGAATCGGGAGTGCAATAATTGTTGCATTTGCGGCCAGTTATCTTGTTTGTTATATGAACATTGCGGTCATTGTGGGTCGATACTGACATCGATATGAGTAAAAATTTACGAAATAAATGTAGCGTATAATTGGCTTTTTTTGATAAATAAATTTATCCTATCAAACTAGCTTCTTTGTATTGTCTAGTTGGCAATGATAGTGTTCACACAGCCGAAATTGCTCAGTTGGGAGAGCATTAGACTGAAGATTTAAAACTCCCTGGTTCGATCGCGGGTTTCGGCACTACGCAATGAAAATTGCAATATTTTTTTATCTAATTTTTTTTTAGAAATAAGTAATCTATTAAAGCAAACTCCATTTGTGGTTTACCAAGTATATAAAAAAAAAGTCTGCCGAAACCCGGGATCGAACCAGGGACCTTTAGATCTTCAGTCTAACGCTCTCCCAACTGAGCTATTTCGGCTGTAATGAAGATAGTCAAATTTCATTGTAGTCGTGATTTGTATATCTTTAAGAGATTGCATCACTTTTTTGGCTACTTATAGGCTTCTATAACTAATAGTAATTTTCTTGTATATTTTTCTTTATAACATTTGTATGACCGCAAATCCTTCTACAAGATTTTCGCCTTAGTATTTCTGTAAGTTTATTATTATTAACTACATATTATGCCTTATTGTTTGCCACAAATATTAGTAGCATTAAATAAACATAGTAGAACCGTAGCCACCGTATTATGGTTACTGAGGATGGCATGCGCGTGCTCCGACACCTCAGAGCAGGCTTACTGCCGCGCCGCGTACGTGTTGACATCGCGTTCACATTGTTGCACAACAAAGTACACACAATATTACTGTTTGCTTACTTGATCAACTGTAGACTTAAGTTTCATACAAAGTAACCGTAATTTGATGAATTTTGTAAGGTTTCATTGGTTTCGATTTACAGTTAATTAGCTTTCGCCCGCGACTCCGTTCGCATGGAAATAAAAAAAAAAACAAAATTGAGTAGCCTCTGTGTTCTTCCAGACTATTCTCTACGTCTATGCCAAATTTCATCGAAATTCGTTCAGCCGTTTAGGCTACAAACTCTAACAAACATCCATCCATCTAAACCTTTGCATTAATAATATTAGTATGATTAATTGTTCCAACATTGTTAAAAGTGAAAAGGCATTGCCTAATATCATAAGAGGTATAGAAAAACCTTAATAAATGTTATACTAAGAATGATAATATAAATCAACATAATGTTACAACGTGCATTTAAATAAATACAAAGTGAAATTGGAATAAACGACGCAATGTTGGCATTATCAAGACATGTTGTGTCGTATCCAATTTAGTGAGCAACAAATTCAGTGAACATTTGCAAATGATATGAGCGATAAGTAACAGAAAGGAGAGACCACTTGTTGCAGCTCGCAGCTTCGCGCCTCGCTCTGACACCCGCCTACGATATTACATATCTACTAAGAATTATCTTCGCACATATCTTTATACTTATGTTCCTAGGGTTGTAATCTATTATTACATATATTTTTCTTGTATTAATTTCGTCGCAGGACATTGAATTTTATTTAGTAATTTTTAGTAAAAGTCTGTGATTTTTTATTTGTGATTCCTAATATGTTATTTGTCCAGACTTCATTATTTCAATGTAGTTAAAAGTTTTTCGCTTTCTCCGCGGTTCGGTCGTGTTATTGATTCGGTCTGCTTCGAATAGATAAACTTTATCGGCAGCTAATGGCCCGTACTTTTTGCGATGAGTGTTTGACCGTAAAATAACGTTAAAGCTCCTTTTCACGGCAAATTAACTTTCCTGATACGATCACTATTTATGAGGCTAAGGAACTTTACAATAGAACCACATTCAAAGCGTTATAAATTTATACTCACAAGCTCCATGGCAACAATTCATCGATTGATTTAAATTTACATTTCCAATATGATGTTTTAAAAGTAAGGTGCTTTCTCCTTTACCACTGAATCTATACTATTATAGTAAAGCGTAAACACACACTTCTTTGTTGCCTAAGATGTCAGCTATCACAGCATATTTTCGAATAACTCTTTTTTTAATAACGTCACGTTTTAGGCTATATATTTTTACGCCGTTAAACTTAGGGGTAAATATTTTGGATAAAAACCCTAATGTGGGAAAGGGACCATAGTTATTGCCAACATCAAGGAAGCAAAGTTGCCATGGTTTGACATCATGTCATATCATTTTGATATTTGCAATTGATAATTTGACAAATGTGAACAATAAAATGAATTGTTTTATAGTTTTATGCCGATGAAGTCGCATAGGAACAGCTAGTTTATTTATAGTGAAAAATATAACCGCGATGACGTAAGATAATTTTGATTGATTTGAGAATAACAATCTGAGGCGGTCAAAGTAAAAACACGTATTTAAACAGTGCCTTACTTTATTTTCGGGTAATAAAGTCTGATTTTTACTTGTCGAGATATATATACGTAGTTAAATAGTTATTATGTAGGACGTGTTAGTGATGTTTTGTGAATTTGCATACAAAGTGAGGGAGAACGACTTTCAGACTCGCTGTTGGCTTTAGTTAGAAATTCGCTTCCATTTTTTCCAACGTGACATATAAGGGATAATTTTCTCTATATTTTCATAATGACAATATAACAATAATGTCATTGAAAAGGTTACTCTAGTAGAGGTTATTTCACCAAGTAAATTGTGAAGGAACACTAAGAGCTAGGAGGTTTACCTTTAAAGTCCTTGTAAACAGTTATCAATCAAATAAAAGTAAATGTTTTAAACATATTGTGTGTAATGATTTCTTTCAATAAAGTTACATCGTATGTACCCGGACCGTTATTGTTCTCGTATTAGCGAGTTCGCATTGCGTAACGCTTCACCGCGCAGCGCCTTAGTTGCAATAAAAACTTACTGATCTCTACTTAATATCAGATTTGCTTGAATATAGGAAAATATAACTTATAGACATAACGTGCTAATACTCGACAACTCCACCGCATACATTGAACAAACGAGGTCGATTAGTAGTTACAAATTATTTTACATAACATCCAAGATTATTTTCAATGTTATTATGTTATGAACAGTATCTATTCATATAGAATTATCATATAAATAAGCGGTGGTAAGAGGATTGTATTTAAATGATTTTCTCTGTAAAACGCATTAACTCGTTACGTTATACCGCAGCTATATTTTACCGCTAGCAATTACCTCTCGTGA